AACTCCTAGGCTCAAGTGATCCTCCTGCCTCAGTCTCCTGAAGTGCTGGGATTATAGGTGTGAGCCACTACTCCCAGCCGATATATATATTTTTAATTGAAAATATTTTATTGCTAAAAGACATTGATATTTTTGAAGAGTATATGCAGTAGTGTGTTGGAGCTGGCTCATGCCAGCCTGCACGTGCCAATTGTTAGCCTCTGTTCCCAACTCTGCTTCAGTGATGTCCAGGTGGTGGTTTGAAAGTGGCCCTGCCAGCATCACCTACCAGGCTCCTCTGAGACCTCTTCATACGTAGGCTTCAAATTTGCCTTGCCTTTAGCAAGAATTCCCCCACCTTGATATCTGATCAAATTCTTCATTCTCCAACCCTGATATCTGAAGTCGTTGGCCTGACTTTAATAAAAACCTCGTTAGGCCAGTTTAGCAAGAATTCCCCTACTCTTGATATCTCCTCTTAGTAATTTTCTGACCCCCTTCCTTGACCCATTGACTACAAATCCCCACCTGTCCCTGTTGTATTTGCAGCTGAGTTCAATCTCTCTCCCCCAAGAAACAGTCTTGGCCTCTATTGCATTAGGTTTGAACAAACCTACTATTTTAAACAAGTGTTCCAATTTTACCACTTTTAACAAGTATTCCAATCGTTTTTCTCTTCAACACCAAATAATGCTACACATCAGGACTCAATCCCCCACCCCCAAAACCAGTTTAACATTTACTAGCATACCACTGAGTTACAGACCAGCTGTCTCACAGAATGTCCCATATTCTGAAATTGTCTGTTGGTTCCTCCTGATTAGATTCAAGCACTTTGTTGCATAACATAGGTGATGTTGTGGCTCATGATGCCCTTTATTTCTGTTTTGTCCAACACTGAAAATCCTAGGTCACGCCTGTAATCCCAGCACTTTGGGAGGCTGAGGCGGGTGGATCATGAGGTCAGGAGTTCGAGACCAGACTGACCAACATGGTGAAAGCCTGTCTCTACTAAAAGTACAAAAACTAGCTGGGATCACGCCACGGCACTCCAGCCTGGGTGACAGAGCAAGACCTCCGTCTCAAAAAAAAAAAATAAATAAATAAAATAAATAAAGAAAGAAAGAAAAGAAAAGAAAATTATAGGACCCCACGGCCCCCTATTCCTTTCCCAACCTCCCATTCCTCTCCCCTGCTTCATTTCTTCCATGGTTGTAATAATCATCTGTCATATTATATTTTTTGCCTCTTAGTCTATCTCCCTCTAGAACGCAAGCTCGTGACAGCCAAGAGTTTATCTGTTTTGTTCACCGCTAAGCCAAGAGCCTACTAGAGTGCTTGGCATGTAGGACTTGCTCAGTGAATATTTGTAGAGTGAGAGAATGAATGGAAAGCAAAGCAAAAGTGGCCAGTTTAACTAATTGTAGTTGCTCCACCGATTTTTCTCCTTCGATATGGCTATCGGTTATAAAGCAGATCATGAGTTCTCAGAACATGGCAAAAAATAGACACATTCTCAAACAACACATCGATCACAAAGGACATTAGAAGGGAAAAACAATAAAAGCTTGATTTTCTGGTGTGCTTGAGGGTGTGTCTGGAGTTGGATGTTTTTGTGAACTGCACACTAGGAGGTTAAGATGCTATATCTCTGGGCAGAGAAGAAAGGTCATAGGATTGGAGGCTGGGTGCGGTGGCTCATGCCTGTAATCCCAACACTTTGGGAGGCTGAGGTGAGTGAATCACCTGAGGTCAGGAGTTTGAGACCAGCCTGATCAATATGGTGAAACTCCGTCTCTACTAAAAACACAAAAATTACTGGGGCATAGTGGCGTGCCAGACCAGTCATTCTCTTACATGGCCTTGCAATCTTTAAAAAATGCAAACTAGTCCAATTATACAACCTCCTTTCAGGGTTTCCCGTGGTCCTAAGGACAAAGTCCCAGATCCCAGCTACTTGGGAGGCTGAGACAGAAGAATTGCTTGAACCCGGGAGGTGGAGGCTGCAGTGAGCCAAGATTGTACCACTGCACTCCAGCCTGGCAACAGAGACTCCGTCTCAAAACAAACAAACAAACAAACAAACAAACAATAATAATAATAATAAAAGAAAAGAAAAGTCATAGCCCAAGAGTCTGGGTTAGCAAATCTCAGTTATTTTATCTGTAAAATGGGGCTAACAGCACAGGCTTTGAATAATAAAATGAGACTAAAATGACAACCATTCTTTTTTATTAAACAATTTTTTTTTCTTTTTGGTGAGCTGAGACTT